ATGTCGCGGTTTGTTTTAATGTTGGATATTTAGTGAATTACGAGTGATTCATTCCAAAAGATCGGAAATAAAATATAGTTCATAAAGAATTATCGCTATATCAGACGAATGGCAAAATAAATAAAAAGTCGCGACATTTTGAAAAGTATATCTTAAAACCGGTAGGAGCATCTCGAGGCGTGAAGGCACTGCGTTTTTGAAAATTCCTGAAAATTCATAAATTACATTATTGATTGTCAACTTCACCTTTCTCATATTTTGCATATACACTAACGAATATTTTATGAAAATGCAATAAAATCGGATTAGTATTAAGCGCGCAATAAAATCGGATTAGTATTAAGCGCCACAAAAAGTTCATGTCTGACATGGCGGTGGGCGTTTATTTAAAGGCCAACTCAAAACTTAAAACGTCACCAGTTGCGTGAGCGTAGGAGGGGGCGTGAGTACATCTTATATACGTCTATGTACGTATACCAGTGTCCACAAGGTCATGATATGGGTTCGCAATTTCCTGAAACAACAAGAAAAAATATCGTTAGTTCCTCAGCCTATAGTAGTATATTGGGCAAAGAGCCCAGCAGTCTTGTTGACTATGAGATTAATATATTGTCTATGCACATGCTTGATGATCACAAATGCAGCTGTTAGTAAGTGGATAAGTCATTAAGTCCATGAGTGGGAAAGTCACCGAGTTTAGAATCCATTGAGTTCAAACAGACACAAGATCTTAATCTTTAAAGTTGTTAGTGTACATATTTATTCAAAATTTTAATTAATAAACTCAGCGTAAAAGCATGGACAATAAAATAAATTTTATTTTAATAAAATAAAATAAAATAAAATTTATTTTATTATCTATGGTAAAAGTATTGTTAATAAGCAAAAGAAATTAACACAATACGATTAACAGATAGAGATGTTGGCTATAGGAGAAAAACGATACCGTGTGCTGACAATTTTTCCTGTCGCCCATGCAGTTGTGTGCGGTGGAAACGGTCAATTTTTCTGACGTCACTGGTCTATATATTCCAAATATTATTTGAATCAAATGTGGTTGAGTTAGAACCACTGATCTGAAATAAGACTGGATAACGCATCTATACTATACGAAAGTGAAGCCGGAAGTCACCGGCCGCCACCCGATTCTGGGGCCCCACTTTTGTATAGATTTGTATTACAGACGGTAGTTTTTCGCGTTTTTTGCCTTGGCTACGTTTCCGATCGGCCCAATTTTACAATCACAACGAGAGAAGTATACAAGAAGAGTTTTGAGCAAAAAATTTGGAGTATTATGGCTTTATAACGCCGTGAAACGGGATTTACAACTCTGAAGGAGTGAGAGCCTCAGACTTTGTTTATCAACACGAGCTCGTTACGGTTTTGCTACTTTCATACAAAATCAACTCAAAATATACAAGAATTATTGTTACTGGACGAATATGCTCACAAAATTTGAAGAAATGAAGCAGCTACATTGTGAACGAAAGCGTACAGAGGTTAGACTTTGTTTATCAACACGAGCTCGTTTGCTACTTTCATACAAAATCAATTTAAAATATATATTATACAGGAATTATATGTTTACTGGACGAATATTCTCAGGAAACTAGAAGAAATGAAGCAGCTACATTTTAATTGTGAACGAAAGCGTACTGAGGTTAGTTTTAAAATACCTTGAGGCTACTTTTATAATTATACGAAATTAATAAGGAACAGTTTTAAATGTCAATTTTGTCAAAAGCATTCCTAGGCGACTTGTCGAAAAGTTTTATATATTTTAAAGTAGGAAGACAAGTGACAATGAAATATTTTTAATCCAAATTATAAACAACGATTCAATGTTATTTTAATTCATATAATTATGGAAGTAGCCTCGAGGTATTTTAAAACTAACCTCTGTACGCTTTCGTTCACAATGTAGCTGCTTCATTTCTTCAAATTTCCTGAGAATATTCGTCCAGTAACAATAATTCTTGTATATTTTGAGTTTATTTTGTATGAAAGTAGCAAAACGAGCTCGTGTTGATAAACAAAGTCTGAGGCTCTCCACTCCTTCAGAGTTGTAAATCCCGTTTCGCGGCGTTATAAAGCCATAATACTCCAAATTTTTTTCTCAAAATTCTTCTTGTACGCTTCTATCGTTGTGATTGTAAAATTGGCCCGATCGGAAACGTAGCCAAGGCAAAAAACGCGAAAAACTACCGTCTGTAATACAAATCTATACAAAAGTGGGGCCCCAGAATCGGGTGGCGGCCGGTGACTTCCGGCTTCACTTTCGTATAGTATAGATGCGTTATCCAGTCTTATTTCAGATCAGTGGTTAGAACCCATTCAAGTGCCTTTACGTTTTGTGTGAAGGGGTTATTAAATTTACATTCACTCCGAACAGATGTTAGTCTAATCATTATTCAGTAGCATTTAATCTATCGTTATTAATATAAACTCAACAACTCAAAGTCGTTGTCAAAGGTATATATTTGTAAACCGTGATGACAGCAAATACGTTCGGTGAAATTGGTCAAGGTTAATAATGGAATACACAAGTCAGGGCAAGTCAGGCTGAGTAAGTCTCATTGGATAAACAATATTCAAGCACAAAGGGTTGGTTGAATTATTGTCAGTTCAACAAATTGTAATCTTTCGCTTCATTCAACAAAAAAGATGGCAAATACTAACTTGACTGAATCAGTTGTAACGTACATTCTTCTCCCATCAGTTGTGTTTAAATTCACCGCAATGATTATTGGAGTTGTGGGAAATACCACAGTTATAATTTATATAACATTTTTCCGAGCAAAGAAAAGACAATAACATCTTACTTGCATGGTAGGGAATTTGGCACTGGCAGATCGTCTTCTGTGTTTAACATTTTATCCGGATCATTGAGTTTATACAGACCATATTAAACATCGATAGTGATCAGGACAATAAGGGCAAATAATGTTAGCCAATCAGCGCGTTTGTGTACATTTTGCGTCCTTGACCATTTAGAATGCCTGAAATTCGAAACATATAAACAACAGGGGTGAGAAAATAACACCTTGTTCTACGCCCTCCGTGACATTCGATATTAAACTTTTTATTCCAAAACTGACAAATTCTGATAAAGCATGCTTTCGTTTTTAATTTCCTCGGGGGGATTTTTTAAATTCGATCTAGAACGCGAAATATTTGTTTGAATAAGGAAAAGTACATTTATTACGCCGAGGGGTGAAGATGTCTTGAAAAAAGCTCATATTTTACAGGGCCCCTGTTCAGGTTATTGGTAAATTTTCGACCCCCCCAAGTTTTCAAAATTTTCAATGCCGCCCTACCCCCAGAATTCAGAGTCGAAGGAGTACAATACGGAATTCTCTCTTACCATATAGATACAATTTGCAGTTCCTCAAGATGCCTGATACACTCAAGCACATGCTTCTCCTCAACAAAAATACTGACTTGCTGCTTCTTTCACCCCACTATCGCCAAGTGAAATGCACAGTCTTTTAGATTGGCTCTAGGGGCGAAATTATCGACAGGTTCTTGAACATGTTCATGTAGTGGCCAGGATTTCCTGGATCAGGGTAATGTGCTGGAACCTTAGAGAACCTCGCCCCCACCCAACGTAGCCTGTCAAAAATGAGTTCCAGTATGTTTCAATTTCTTTCATTTTCATCCTGTTTGTACTAAATATCCCGTGAACATAGATCTAGAACATATCATTCTTATAAATCGTATGCTTTTTTTTGTTTTTGGAACTGATACTTTTCGGCGGGTAAATTACTTCACAAACCTGGCGCCAAAAAGTTAAAAATAAGCTATAGGTGATTTCATGTATCCATTTAGAAGAGCAGACTAAGAACATCTTAAAACTGAAATCAGTTTCGAAATGCAACCATCAGGGACGTACCGAGGCATCTGAAGTTTGGGGGGGGATGTCGGAGGATTTTACGTGAAATTTGAATTTCAATGTTAAAAATTTACCTGAAGTGTAATAATTATAATAAAGCTTTTTGTGATTGATTGGCACTCTCTTACTAACTTTTGGGAGAAAAGGGGCCTCAAAAAATCTTTACATTCAAAGCTCTAGGACTGAATTTCTGACGTTTTCTAAAGCAAATTCGCAATGCATGTAAATTGACTGTATTTTACAAAAATGGTTATCTTTTCACAAAAATAATTACTTTATTACACAAATTTTATCTGAAAATTTCAAAATTTTAACTTGAATTTTATAAGACTTTTCCCTGAATTTCACAGTAGGGGGAAGTTTTACACCCCCTCCCACCCACCCCCCCCGGTCGCTACGTCCCTGACAACCATTCCATGCGAAAATATAATGTCTTAAATTTCTAAAAATCCGTCATTTTGTTCTGTTTTTGGTAACAATATGGTGGATTTCTCGACATTTGTATCGCTATATCCTCCCATAAAATGGTTGTACCTAGAAACAGATTTCAGTTTTAATTAATTAAAGTACCCTTAGTCTGCTCTACTAAATGGATTCAGTAAAATCACCAATGGCTTATTTTAAATTTTTGGCGCCAAGTTTGTGACGTAATTTACCCCGCCAAAAAGTAGCAATCCCAAAAAGGTTATGTTCTATATTCATGGAAAATTTATGGTTCAAGCGTACGGAGGGGTTCAGTGATGGTGAAATAATTGGGGATAAATCGGGAACAGTAGTTGGTCATAACGAGGAAACTGCGAACTTCATGAGCGGTGGTAGGGGGACTGGTATTGTTGATGGCAGAGACTTTCTGGGGGTCTGGGGAGAAACAATTTCTGGAGAATAGATACCCAAAGAAATCGATGCTGGATTTGATGAACTCGCACTTTTGGTATTCAATATCACGTTTTTAGAGCGTAAACGTTCAAAAACTGCATGAAGCGTCATGTGCCGCTTGGTCTGTACCAAAAATGATGATGTCATCGCTAACATTACGAGCACCTTCGATACCACTGAGGACTTGTTGGATGGCATCTTGATGGCACCGTTTAGATCATGAATTAGGTAATCAATAGTCGGGTGTAAGAAGACGTTCACGAAGGATTGCACGATTGGGTTGGCGCATATCGATACAAAGGCGAATCTCATCAGGGTTCTTTGGTTTTGGTGTCACAACGAGAGGGGACACCCACGGAGTTAGGCCATCAACCGGTTCGATAATACCCTGGCGTTCAAGTTTGTCAAGTTCGAAATCGAGCTTTTTGCGAAGGTGGAACGGAATTCTCCGATGAGGTTGCGTCACGGGGGTCGGGGGGTGCGGGAGGGATCGATATGTAGATGAACTTGAAAGTCCTTCATCTTGGTCTGACAAGTTTATAACGATAACAACGGGCAAAATGGTTCATTTTTCTGCACGAATGACACTGGGAACCGCGCGCAGGACAGCTGGCTTGACCTTGTGGATGGGGATAGCCATAGCAATGTCCACACGTAGATGAGGCCATAGCGCATGTGGAGATATTTTGATCCTCGTTGCCAATGTAGTATTCTTATAGTATGATAATACATGTCAAGGCACGCGTGCTCTTTGAGTGGTTATAACAATACTAATTTTAATATCCATGGAATGCAAGCTATATACAAGTGACGTCACATATGTAATGACGTCAGATGATTACAAATATTAACGCGCATTTGCGATTCTTCGTAGAAAGCCACAAAAGGTGTCCTGATAAGTACTCTGTATTTTCTGCTTCTTATTCTGACACTACGTTTAAAGTTCGATAAAGATAACCATTTCAATTATGACACCGATATCACTGTTTCACAATGTTATAAAGATAATTTCTTTGTCCAATGTAGATAGATAGATAGATAGATAGATAGATAGATAGATAGATAGATAGATAGATAGATAGATAGATAGATAGATAGATAGATAGATAGATAGATAGACAGATAGATAGACAGATAGATAGACAGACAGACAGACAGACAGACAGACAGACAGACAGACAGACAGACAGACAGACAGACAGACAGACAGACAGACAGACAGATATATTTATTTAACCACGCTAACCTCGTCAACTAAAGCTGATTTCCACGAGGGGCCGTGTGAACAAGAAGTATACAGCAAATATGAAAAGTATTTAAAGTACTATTTAAAAAACGAGCAGGAGTGTTTTATTAGGTTTAAAGCCACGAGCGCGCAGCGCGAGTGGCTTTAGACCTAATAAAACACGACCTGCGAGTTTTTAAATGGCTTCAAAAACGTTTGCATAATAAGTCAAATCTTTATATAAAAATCTTTATATAAAAATCTTTATATAAAAATCTTTATATAAAAATCTTTATATAGTTTGCATAACAATGGTCTTTTGTTAAAGTGTTCTTTAGCTGGTATAAAGATGTATGCACGTGACTAATTTCTTACTCAAGATTGGATAATTGCTTCATGAATTATTAATGAGTTTTTGAAAGTTATTTACAAAATAGAAAACATAGTATAAAATATATTAAGTATTAAAATATAAGATATAGTATATGAGGTAATAATGTATTTACAGATGCATATATTTGATTTAATTATCAATGTGAGCAGCGATTTTCGTCCGAAAGGAAGAAAGGGATTTGCTCTCTTTAATTTCCTTAGGAATATAATTCCAAAGGAATGATCCATCGTACATAAAACTTTTTTTCAAATTATTAGTCCGCGGTTGCGGTAAACAAAGAGTACTTGAAACGTTTCGAAGATTATAGCTAGTAATCTCACTTTTATAAGTGAATAAGTTAGTGAGTGATTGAGGGCCCATGTTATTTAATAATTTATGCATCATTTTTGCCTTGGCTTTCCTCTTTTCTACTTTAAGTGTCTTCCAGCCCAATGCTTGCAATGTTACAGAATGATCTGTGTCATTGCTCATATTCATGATAATTCGAGCTTTGAAGTCGTTTTGACTGTGTTTCACCGAACACATCCCATACTTCACAGCAGTAATCGAAGTATGGGCGAACAATAGCATTATAAACGGAAAGAAGCGTTTGCCTGTCAACAAAATCCTTTAAACGTCTAAGAGCAGAAATTCCTGATGTTATTTTCCTGCAAATATTTTCAGTGTTACTTTTCCACGACAAATGCTGGTTGACTGTCACTCCAAAGTTTTGCACTCATGCACTTGTTTAATCTGTTTGTTTTACCACATGAATTGAATTCACTGCAGCTTCTAGACGAGTTATCGAGTCGCCAGAAGCTGTCAGGTTTGTGTCGTCAGCAAATAACCGAGGTTTTGTTTTTGATAGACATTGGGGCAAATCATTGATGTACAATAAAAAGAATAATGGCCCTAAAATAGAGCCTATTATTACTCAACTATTATTATTATTCAACTGTTTTTGGATATGATTGAGCTGAGGCATATAAACCCTTCATTACCTTGGTTTTATGCCAACAATAAATAAAATGCACATATACACAAAATATAGTACATACACAAAAGGTTGCCCTTCAAAAATCTTAAACCTTAAACATCAAACGCGCAAGGTATGATGGGTATTGCTTCAAGGGAGCCTTCGATTAGACATTAGCAAAGTGAACTAAATAGGCTATATCGAAATTGTTCATTATATATGCCCTACCATATTGTTGCAAAGCAAATTTACCGAGCTAGTTTAAGACTCTATAGCTAAATAGAACGTTACCCATCATATATTGCGCACTTAACGTGTGCAAACAGAAGTAACTAGGCATCACAATAACATTTGAACGGTTAGGCCCATTAGTTGATCGAGTTTCAGATATACAAAGTTGTATTTTGATTTAGACTATTATTGAGCATTTTAATAAAGTTAACTATACCTCTTGAACTTTTATCCAATGCCATATGTTGAACCCTGATATTGTAGCTTGAAATCCATTGTTGCAGGAAGAAGGGAGGTCCCTCATCTGCATGCGGGAAAAATTATATTTTCAAAAATATATTATCTCATAATTTTATTACGTTTCTGAAAAACGCTAAATACTATGCATGAATTTCGATTGAAAACAGTGCGAATTTATTGCACTATTTGCAATAATTTGTAAAGATGGTTCAACTTTTCAATTCAAGATTTAGGGAGTGGTCATTATTTATGGGGAGGGAGGGGGATGGAGAAAATAAGGATTGAAAACTTTTTTGATCCCCCCTCCAGACTGAAGGGAAACTTTTTGTGCCTCCCCCTCATAAAAGTAGAAACTTTTCTGCCCCCCCCCCAGTGTGGATTGAAAAATTAACAGCAATGAAACAGGTGTGCGCATAGTTGCCAACCCTCCCGCATCCTGCGGGAGGCTCCCGCATCCTGCGGGAGGCTCCCGCATTTGATCACTTTCCCCGCAAATTTCCCGCATTGACTTTTCCTCCCGCATTTTGAAAAATCCTCCCGCTTTTTCCCGCAAAAATAAAAAAGGACAAGGGAAAGTTAATTTACAAAAAAGAACTGTCAATTTGGGAAAAAAATGAGGTATATTTACAAAAATTTTAGAAAATTTCGGAATTTTAGAGAAATTTATTTGATAAATGAAGAAAATTTGAGATGAGCGGAAAAATTTTTTATGTGGCGAAAAATTTTGGTATGTCCGAAAAATTCTTTTTACCCCTAAAATGGTATACTGACCGAAAATTTTTTGGCGACGGGGGGGGCGGGGGTTGGAGGTCGCCAAAAATAATTTTTCCGAAAAAAATATTTACCGCGCTATAAACTCCCGCATTTTTATTTAAAAAAGTTGGCAACCATTTGTGCGTTACAGGTAAAGTTAGATATTAGGACAATCTGTTTAATCTAGCTCATGATGTTTTACCCTGGTGAATATGATTCAACCATATATGATTAAAAAATATATATTATGTGTTACTACTTTGCAATGCAACATTTGTCCTACCATAACCCTAACCCATGACCCGTCTTCATACAGCGAAATGATTTGAACACAGGGTTTTTTTAAGAACTTGTCTGGGGGGGGGGTGGGCATCTACAAAAAGGGACCATACTATATTGAGTGTGGAGAGATGACAGATGGTTGTTGGTGACAAAAAGTTTGGTGTGGTATCGTATGTACTAGTAGGGGGGTCTGGGAGTATTCTCCCCAGAAAATGTTTTGTATTTTTCCACCCCTAGAACTGAAATGTGAGCATCTTCTGAAACAGATTTTTGGATATACAGCGTTACATTGTGCGTTGATAGACCGAATCTGATCAGTTAAGTGTACTTGCATGGTATGTTTATGTAAATTGTAGTTAGAATAATCAACCTCTCCTTGGAAAGTGGTACAATGCCTGACTCTTTGAAGATTGCTGTTGTTCAACCGCTATTAAAAAAGTACAATCTTTCCTATGAAGAATTCTGCAGTTTTCGTCCAATATCAAATCTGAAATCTGTCTCGAAATCTATTGAGAAAGCAGTTGCGGTACAATTAACTGATTATCTTACTGAAAATCATCTACATGAGAAATTCCAGTCTGCTTATAAACCTTGTCATAGTACTGAAACAGCGCTATTGAGGGTTCAAAATGATATCCTTCAAGCTCTAGATAACGGTGATTCTGTTATTCTTGTCCTACTGGATCTGTCGGCGGCTTTTGACACCGTGGATCATTTAATGTTATTAACAAGACTATCGAACCGCTTTGGCATAAGGGGTCGTGTGTTGGATTGGCTTACCTCATACCTTACATCCAGGAAACTGTTTATTCGTGTTGAGGGAACTGATTCGTTATTGAGTGATCTTGATTGTGGTGTACCTCAGGGATCTGTGTTGGGTCCTCTGTTGTATTCACTCTATACTGCCCCTCTCGCGGATGTGGCTAGGCGCCAAAATCTGCGCTTTCACTTTTTTTCTGATGATGGGCAACTTTACATTGCATTCAAAACGAATGATCGTGATGATTTAATATCATCTAAGATCCGTATGGAGAAATGTATACTTGAATTGGGAAACTGGTTGATGTTGAATAAATTGAAACTAAATAGTGGCAAAACGGCGCTTATATTAGTCCATTCACGCTATCATCTGATGCCTCCCTTAAATTATATCATGGTGGGAAAGGAAAAAATTGTGCCAACTGTTTCAGCAAGAAATCTGGGGGTGATTTTTGATGAGTGGATCAGATTGGGCGAACATATTAATGGTATCTGCAAGTCAACTTACTACCATATTAGGAATATTTCAAGAATTAAGAAGTATCTACCTCGAAATTGCTTAGAAATAATTATTCATGCATTTATAACTTCAAGACTGGATTATTGTAACTCCCTGTTGTATGGTGTACCCAAATATTTGCTTCAGAAGCTTCAGAGAGTCCAAAATACTGCAGCTCGTTTACTAACTGATACTAAGAAATCGGCGCATATCACCCCAGTTCTTATCGAATTGCATTGGTTACCTGTCCAATACCGTATTCAATTCAAGATTATACTTCTTGTCTACAAAGCTGTTAATGATCTTGCTCCATCGTATCTGAAGGAACTTATGCTGTGTCGTACTTCGCAGCGTACTCTTCGATCAAATGGAAATGAATTGCTCCAGATTCCTTATTCTAGACTAAAGAGATACGGAGACAGATCGTTCTGTGTTGCTGGACCAAGATTGTGGAATGATTTACCTGTTCATCTTCGGATGTGTGAATCATTAACCATTTTTAAGAAGTTTCTTAAAACATATCTTTTTAACTTGTTTTTAAATAGTGTATGATGTATTCTATAGTTTTAACATTCTTAACACTAGTTTTTAAGATTGGATTTTGTATTACTGTAAAGCGCCTAGAACAGTCTTGGTTTGTGCGCTATATAAATGTTTATTATTATTATTATTATTATTATTATTATAAATACCACTACTGGGCCACTTGGGGTAGAAAGCTTGTTAAACTTAGTGGGTCTGACTCCCACGATCGCGAGGCGCTACCATGGTTGGCACCGAACAGGGAAATTTTGAAATTTTTGAGTCTCTAGATCGTTGGAAATAGCATTTTCAGAGTCTTCTTTTTTGCTATTTGTGATTATAAAAATCAGAACTCTAGACATGGTATTTAAGTTCAAAAACTTTTATGACCCCCCCT